TCCGGAGAAAGAGGAATATTAGTCTCATACAGCTCATCTTTAAGAATACAGCTCATTTTTAAGTGGTGTGAGTCGGAAATCCACGAAGAAGTTAATGACGCCAGTCCTGATAAAAGAGAACGTCAGTCTCCTGGATTCAACTCAAGCTGTGGGACAATCATTGTCAAAAGATCATCAGATCATTGTGAATGTGTAGTGTAGTAAAAAAGTGATACGTGTGTGATCATCGTTGTGCTCGAGAAAATTTAGTTCGGTGAAGTGCTGTGAAAGTGTGTGTTGTGATAATAAGTGCCTGCATCATCAGCGTCCATAAAAATCATAAGTTGTGAGAAATCTTAAGCTGTGACAGCATTCTTTTTTTTTCCAAGCGTCAACCATTCGAGTCTACAATCCATACGGGTAAGTACCTTGTATTTTTATATTGAGGCAGTGAAGAAATTTAATTTATTTCTGTAATTTAGAATGCAAGTTCACATAACTATTTTAAGTCGACATTGTTTTCTGTAAAGTTTAAAGAAATATACTGTTTTGGTTTTACGTTACAATAAGAAAGCATAAATGTGTATTAATCTTCTAATATCTGAAATGTTAATGTGTTGTGCTCAAATTAAGCTTATATAATTGAATGTGTAAAGGAGAAGAATTACTCTAACTTTCAAGGTTCTAAGGTTAGGTGGCATTCTAACACATCATTTCTAAGACGTCTTGAATGTTATAAATATTATAATTTTCAGTTAAGGTGTGTAAAACATTATTTGTGTTAGAACTGAAACATTTTTCTATTGAACGAGTAAAAGGGGAAAGCTAGAAATCCCCAGTATCTTTCATTTTAACTGTTGTCAGATTAATGTTTAGTTATGAACATGTAGATATATGGATTTTTTTAATAAACCTCTGAATGCATATTTTAATATACCTCAAATTTTGATGAAAGTATATTGTATTATCATAAGCCTTTGAGTTAACGCAACTGAATTTTAAGTTTGTAAAACGTTAATGGTATTTGTAATCTGAAGCTCTCAAGTAACAAATTATGAGGTGCATATTATGGTATGAATCGTTTTGCATTTGTGTTTAGATCTATAGAATATGTTGTGAAAAAAATTAAGGGTTCAATTTTACTCTCTCTTTGTGAAATGATATTTGTCTAAAGTAAATCTTATACATATGTCGTGTGAGGAAGCTAAAATTGTTAGGCTGTTATTATAATTTTGGCTTATATCATGACATTCTTAGCAAAAGTTAGGAAAGAGGATCTTAAAACCTTGGCTGAAGAGTCAGGGGAAAAAGTCAGCCTTGAACTTTAGATATTGGATTTAAGACAGCTGATTATGGGAAATGAATCCTATGAGGAGGAATTAGTGAAAGGTCTGTTAGAAAATATCACTTCAACGAGGCTTGAGAGAGAAAAAAGAGAAGCAGGAAAGAATTAGAGAAAGGAAGATGAAGAGAGGCAGGAAAGAATTAGGAGAGAAGAAGCAGAGAGGCAGGATAGAATTAGGAGAGAAGAAATGGAGTTTGAATTATCGAAATTAAGATTACTATCCGCTAACGGAAATTACTCTATAAATGGTGGGAATGAAGAAAATGGAATTAAGAAAAGCCGTTACGATCTGAAAAAAAAATGATTCCAAAATTTGATCCTGAAAAGAACGATATTAGTTTGTATCTAGTCTTTGAACGCCAAGCAAAGAGTGCGAATCTTCACCAATCTGAATGGGTTTCTGTTTTATTGTCAGTTTTGCCAACTGACATAGTTCAGCTGATTATGCGAAACCAGAGCAGCAGACTTATGACTACGCTTATGTAAAAGGGATATTGCTTAAAAGGTTTAAGCTTAGTCCAGAAAAATTTCGCATCAAATTTACGGAATTCCAGGAAAACACTCAAACCACTTGGAGAGATTTTGCTTTTGAATTAAGTAATTATTTTGAACAATGGAGTGCAGGTTTGGAAGTTACAGACTTTGAAATTTTAAAAGAGCTCATGATAACGGACCAAATGAAGCGTCGTGTAAATATCAAAGTGCGACAGCAATTTATTGACGAATGGTCGAAAATAACGACTCCAGATAAATTAGCAGAAATGGTAATGCTAGAAGAGTATGAAAATGTTCGTGAACCCCGGAAGAAGATCTCTCCTGTTCATAGTCCGGAGTCACAGCTGGGCAATAAAAATCATTTAAATTCAAGAGAGTCGCAAATGTATCACCTGTCTGGAGGGGAAGATTGAAATGCCTCTGAAAAAAAGGAAAAACTCTGAAATCAGAAACAGCGTCAATTTGATACAAGACCAGTTAAGTGTTATTCTTGTGGTTCAACCGAACACTTAAGGGCTCATTGCCCGGAAGTTAAGAAAGGATTTCAAAACCTCATTTATTGTAAATAGGGTGCAGGAGATTGAAGAAGATTGTTTATCCCTGTATCTAACGATAGCTAAAGTGAACGGTTTCGATCTCCCAATTTTGAGAGATACCGGATCATGCATTGACATAATATGCAACAAATACCTCACTCCTTCGATGTTGACGGGTGAGATTGTCTGGGTGAAGCAAACGTTTGATGCGGCTCCAGTTTGCTTACCGTTAGCACACGTTACAATAGAAGGAAAATTTGGACAGGTCATCAACAAAAGCAGCTGTCATTCGAAATGAATTGGATCAAGGTCGATACATTTTAGAAAATCGCACCGCAGCAAAATTAGAAGAAGAGAGTTATACACAAAAGTCCGGATGGAAACCCTCAGGCGAAGATACTCCCCACGTTATCGGAAGAAGTATCGTCTTGTCTCAAACAAAAGGGATAGAGAAAACCAATTTCTCTCTGCCTGAAGCAGAGGTGAACGAACTGTCACTGCTTACAATAGACCAGATGCAGTTAGCTGATCTACAAAAGAAAGGTGACGTTGTAAACCCATCTTTTGACTTAGTCGCGTTAGACGATCGCAGTAACTCTTTGGGAAATGTTTATCTTGAAGTCAGATGTAGTAGTTCTCATCCATTGAGAGATTATCACAAACTGAAAATTAAATATCTGCAAGGTTTCCCTTTTCAGCCTGGCTAAATATACAATTAATATTAAACTTAGGAACGTATATTGTATATTTCAGAAAACTATACAGTCTTATTGTATGTGTATGATTAAGATTAGTTCTTAGTATTATGTTGTTTATATGTTTATTTACTGGCCTCAGTATGTTTCTTGTTGTCTTTATACTTGGCACTTAACATAGCGTTGCGAAAAAAAAGAGGTATTAGTGTTAATAATTATTAAATAGTTTTATTTTTGAGAACTTGCTGTGGTAAAGGTACGAGGAATTGGAGTTCTGACCACCCCCGGGAACAGGAAAGGGATTGTGACGACCAGACATATGCACACCTCGGACTCCCAGGTGCTTAATGAGAACTTCCTGTTTTGTTCAAAAACAAAATGGACAGCAGAACTTTGAGGGGAGGTGTAGCGGAAAACCCCTGGTGCGGTTTCCGGACATAAGGGACTAATTAAACCCATTCCAGGTTTTTAAAAAAAAACGAAGAGAGGCTTGGTAAACTTTTGTATGCTGTAACGAGGAAACAACGACCCGAGAGTTACCGCGTCGTGCCCTTGTATGATTATCTGAATGATTATTTTTAATTCCATCAGAAATCTTATTAATTTTTTAATAAATTCTAAAAGGTCTTCTTCCGAACACGGTGAGTATACCCCCCACTATATGCGGCAAAAGGATGCCGCCATGACGTAATAGAACAAAGGATGACGCAACGGGGGCGTGGCCTCCGCCATATTGGATCACGTGACTTCCATCCGCCATGTTGGATCACGTGGTGTTCCTTTGGAATGACTCATCCTTTTCCCGCCATGCCGTGCGTGCTGAATCGCCGAGGCATTCATTAATTTTATTCGGTAAGTATTTATGAAGGATTTAATTAATTATTATTTAACTTACCTAATTAATTTATTAATCACGTGGTCTTTGGAGAACATCGGCCATTTTGTTTTGTACGGTGATTTATGCTGCCCTTCATGACAGTTTCAAAAATTGCGTGGGCCCGAACCCACGATGTCGAGATCTCCAGCTACGCGCGCTTTAACCACTGAGCCACGCTTTTGTTACCACAGAAGACTAAAAATTCGTGCTTAGAAAAAAAAAAGGCAAAGCGTTCAACGAGTTTACCGATCGAAAAGTTTCTTTTAAACGATGAAAGAGGGGTAGAAGACATATATTTTAATTTCTTAATTTTTTTTTTCGAACATTGATTACCTTCTTTAAGATATTATAAAGATTATTTTTGTGCTTAATTTTTAATTAATATTTTCAATTTATCAAATGAATTTTTTTTCTTCTAAGTGGGTGATATTATTTTCGAATGGAAGAAATTTTTTTAAAATTATTTATTATCTGCAGGGAAAGAGTTAAAATGATATTTTTACATCTGTACTGATTTTCTTGAAGCTATGTTACTGCTGGCGCCATCTAGCGTCCAGAACATCATCTAAAAGTAACAGGATCGTAAAAAAAATAATATGAAAATGTAATATATTTCCTTTTCACGGGGTTACGAACTCGCTACCACCACCCAATAATTAATAAAAAGGGATTGAGGGGGACCGCATCCAAGTCTTTAAGCGATACCCCACAATTCCTTGGTTGATATGGTTCTTAATTATCTGCATAAGGTTTTTCCGTGCTCCGCCATCTTGGATTTCCTCTATAGCCGCCATTTTGAAGAATTTTCTTGGTGGGTAAATGACGTCACCCTTATCATGTTTGTGCATGATTTGGTTGGGAAATGGCGTCTGCCTTTTCACTCCCTTTGTGTAGACATCCGCGTAGGTGAACGAATACATTTCTGTGGACCAATCAGAAAGCAGAAAAATGATGTCATGCCCTCTTAACCAATCCGCGTATTCAGACAAAGTAAAAAGTTCGGAGCCGAGTTTCAACCGCTGGATTGCCTCCGAAATTCATTACTTGCTAAATTCTAGAAGTTTTGTTACCACGCTTTTTGAAAAAACAAGAAATTCTCTTCGTATCTGCGAAAATGGCTTCAAGAAACAGTAAACGTTCTTTGGAACCCTTTTTTGATCAAGTAAGTATTCATATTTAAAATTTATTTTATTTATTTTTATTTTATTTATATATAAAATGTATTAAGGTTATTATGTGTTTAATTTTATTATTTTAGTGTTTTTTTTTTTTTTTCTTTGACCACGTGCCTGTAATACTGACACGCAATTAAAATTTTTTGTAGTGTGAGGATTCCGATGTATCTGTAAGAGATTCTAATGATCAAGTAAGCTAAATTTTATTTATGTGTTTTTATTTACACGGCTTAGATTTTTTTATTATATTTTACCCTGTTTTGTTGAAACACGTGTTTGTAATATTAACGTTTCAAAACAGTTATATCGCCATATTATTTTCAATTGTTCTTTGACCACGTGTGTTTGTAATACTTACATGATTAAAAATACTATTATTTTGTAGTGTGAGGATTTCCATGCGCTTTTAAGAGATTCTGATGATGAGGTAAGCTAGTTTTATTTTATTTCCTTCTGTGGCTTATTTTTACAATGTATAGTTTTTTGCCCCACCTAGAAAAAGACTATTCACTATTTTTAATTTATTTAGTGCCTGAGTGAAACATCTCAAATATTCATCGAAAATCCTATTGACGGCATTGAAAATTATTTTAGTGATTCAGGAGATGAAGTACGTAGTTTTTTTTTTTTTTTTTTTTTTTTTCCTGTCATTAAATTTTTTTGTATTTTTTTATATATAAGCTGAACCTAAATTTCTTTAAACACAACTGTTACTTTTCTTTAGCTCTTAAGTGAAACTTCGCAGATATTTTTGGAGAATCCTTTGGTTTTGCCTCTTTACTATCAAGTAGGCTCGGGATATGAGGTAATATCAGTTTTTAATATATATATAAATATATATGAGAATTATTTTTTCTATGTTTTTTATGTTTTTCTATGTTTGTTATGTTTTTCATATCACTGTGATGTCTATACATCTTTTAGACTCAACCTTCTGCTCCATCTAAAGGACCTGCATATGTGGAACATGACATTTCAGTAAATGTGAGTTTTTCTCCTGTTTTAGGGCTTATGGTGTGTTTGCGTGTGTGCTTATTTTCATTTACACTGAATTATGTTCTTTTCTTTCCAGATGGAAAATGCTATTATACTCAAGGCACGGCGTCGTAACCGAAAGTATCAAGGCGAGGAAATAACCTTCCAGGCACGTGTTGATATGAATCGTCTGCCTCAAAATATTCGCAACAGGCCTCTTCTAGCCGTAACTGAATCTGTTAGACAGCTGTTTGAAATATTAATTCAACGGTCAACAGAAAATCTAAGGCCGACAGATTGGATACGAATGTGTATCCAAGCCGATGGATTGGATAAACCCATGTCTACGAAAATTATTGCCGTATCTTCCATGACGGTGGAGACCGTATTATCGGTTATTATGAAAGTTCTGCAGTCAAAAGATGAAATTCGGCTGGATTCAGGCTTCCTAGTAGATGTGATCACGATTCGCAGGGATATCGGTGCAGGTAGAGCAAAGATAATCAACATTCAAGTAGATCGTCTTAAAAAACGCTCTGTCCTTTCCATCCCGTCAGATGATGAAGGGTTGTGTTGCGCAAAAGCAATCGTATATGCCCTAGCTTATCTTGAGCAAGACAAGTCAGCGCTTAATTCTCTACGGGATCGGAGACGATCTGTTCTAATGCTACGAGCTCAAGAATTACACAAGTGTGCTGGAGTTCCTCTTGGTCCTTGTACATACACTGAAATCTGCACATTTGAAAATCATCTAAATATACAAATCGTAGTAATAAGCAGCGAAAATTTAAATAAAGTAAGCCAAAGATTTTAAACAAAAAAAAAAAAAAAAAAAAAAAAATTAATTAAATTGAAAAAAAAATGTAAAATGAAATTATATTTATAAACTGTTTATTTCTAGGTCTCGTACAAAGGAAGATATCGAACTCGTCGCGTTAATTTGTGGCAACACAATGGAAATTTTGATGTCATTACAAATTTACACGGTTTTTATGGTTCGAAAAACTATTGCGAAAATTGGGAAAAGCCATATGACCGTCCAGAAGATCACAGGTGTGACAATATGTGCCATGTCTGCCTAAGATTTCAATGCGTTTCCAGCATTGCCTAAAAGATGTAAAGATTGTGATCGCCTCTGTCAATCTGAGGACTGCTTTGCAGCGCATAAAGCCGTCACAGGTAGACAAGAGCATTCAGTATGCGATAGGGTAAGTATTACTCAACTAGGGGAAAAAAAAAAGTTTTTAATACTTACATTTTTAAAACTTTTTTTTTTTTTCTAAATATATTTTTAAAAAATCTTTGTTCTACTTTTTTTTTTCCTAATTACAGATGTATCAGTGCAGACAATGCTCAAAAGTTATCATGCGACGGCAGTGTCCTAAAATTTTACATCGTTGCGGGACTATCAAATGCCCTTCGTGTAAAGAGTATGTTATAGCGTCAGAACATCATTGTTTCTTACAACTCATTTCTGCGAAAAGTCCATCCGATAAATTAATTTTCTTTGATTTCGAAACTGACCAATCATCAGGGGAACACATCGTAAACTTTGCTGTAGCGCAGTACAAAGATGGCCAAGAGAAAATATTTAAAGGATACGAAGCATGTCATGAATTCTGCTCTTGGCTGTTTACAACAGTGCACAAAAATTACACTGTTATTGCACACAATATGAAGGGGTAAATGTATTCTTATTATTTTTAATCTGCATATATATATTATAGGGCTATTGTTTTAAATATAATACATTTTTTAAAATATAATAATTTTTTTTTCTTTACAGATTTGACGGTCAGTTTATAATGGCATGGCTTTTAGAACAGGGTACGGCACCTGAAGTAATCCCTAATGGCTCTAAAGTGATGGTAATCACCCATACCGCCCTCAACATAAAACTTATTGATTCTTTTAATTTCCTGCCGATGGCTCTCTCAAAGCTGCCTGCTTGTTTCGGCCTTACAGAACTAAAAAAAGGATATTTTCCGCACCTTTTCAACAAGAAAGAAAATCAAAATTATGTGGGATTTTTACCTGAGCCTAAGTACTACAATCCTGATTGTATGACTAGTGCGGTGCGAACCTCCTTTTTGGAATGGCATAAAGAACACGAGAAGGATATATTTGATTTCCAAGAAGAAATTCTCACGTATTGCCGGTTTGTATCAACAATCTATTTCTAATCCTTCCTTCATTATGATCCGTCTTTTAGGTGTATTTTTTTTTGGTACCATGTTTTATTTATTTATTTACTCTTTTCGTTTTCAGATCAGATGTTGATATCCTTCGTAGATGTTGCGTTGAATTTAGAAATCAGTTTTTAGAAATTACAGGAGTAGACCCCTTTTGGTATTTTACAAACCTTTTCTTTTACATGGTTTTGTCATTTTGTAACAACGTATTGTATACGTGCATGTATACTTTATGTATATATGATTTACACTTTTCTTGTCCGTTTTATTTTCAGTTACATAACCATTGCATCAGCGTGTATGGCGGTTTACAGATCCCGACACATAATACCTAATACCATCGCAATGATACCTGTAGGAGGTTATATCAATCGCACGAATCATAGTCCTGACTGTATTCGTTGGCTTGATTTTATTGCCCAAAAAGAGAGCATTGAAATCGAACACGCTTTGAACGGAAAAGGAGAAAGACGATTGGATGGTATATCTGTAGACGGATATTGCAAAGAAACAAATACTGTTTATCAATACTACGTAAGAGTTCAATATTTATTTATTTATAAATATATTATTTAATTTATTTATTTATTGGTATTATACGAAAAAATTTTTAACTATCGCAGGGATGTTTCTTTCACGGTTGCTCCACCTGTTTTGACGGAGATGCACTCCACCCCATAACAAAATTACCCATGTCGACATTGCGACAACAAACGGTAGTAGACAAGACTTACCAGCTACGTGCGTGATCGAGGGTATAATGTAATTGAAATGTGGGAGCATGAGTTTGAGATGAAAAAGAAAACAGATGAAAAAGTAAAATATTTTCTTCTAAGTCACGAGCTTCAGGATCGATTGAATCCTAAAGATGCTTTCTTCGGCGGGCGGACAAATGCCATTCAGCTGTATTATGAGGGTGATGCAAAGTATGTGGATTTCACTTCACTGTATCCATGGGTAAATACTTTTTTTTCTGTGTTTTGGCATAAAATAATCTTATTAAACGCGCATGTCTTATTTAAAAAGAAAATCGCTTTTCCGATTATTCATATTTTTTCAATTTTTCCTAGGTCAATAAATACTGTTTGTACCCCGTCGGACACCCTAATATTATTACTGAAAATTTTGATGCCTTGGAAAACTATTTCGGTATTATAAAGTGCCGAATACTGCCTCCTCGAGGTTTATACCTCCCCGTATTGCCGTACAGAGCACAAAATAAACTGATGTTTCCCCTCTGCAAGACTTGTGCTGAATTAATGTATCAAGGCATTTGCCAGCACTCAGATGATGAGAGAGCCATCATTGGCACATGGGTGACTGAAGAAGTCAAATTAGCAGTGAAAAAAGGTTACTGTATAACAAAGGTAAGTATTTTGGGTAATTATTAGTATTATTGAATGTGTTTATAAATGTCACAGCATGTATTTTTATTGTATATTATTATATTCATATTCCCACTATCTTTTTTTTTTTTTTCAGATTTATGAAGTGTACCATTTTTCTCAATTTACGGATACTCTATTTCAATCTTATATCAACTTGTTTTTAAAAATAAAACAAGAAAGCAGCGGCTGGCCAGCCGATTGTGTAAGCTCGACCGAACGAAAACGCTACATTGAAGCCTATTTTGAGCGAGAGGGTGTGCAGCTTGATGAATTTAATATTAAGAAGAATCCTGGAAGACGGCAAGTAGCCAAATTGGCTTTGAACAGCTTCTGGGGGCGGTAAATAATTATTATAATGTTTTTAATAGAAAGAGTTGTTTCACATCTTTATATCATTTATTATTTCTTAAAAAAATGCTCATTCTTTTCTTATATATTTTTTTTTTCTTTAAAGATGGGGAATGAACCTGAACAAGATACGTTTGACTTATGTTCATACATTACCTGATTTCAATAAATTATTAGCAGATCCAACAAAAAATGTAAGTTTTGTAATTTTATTTTCTAATGTAAATTAAGATGTATATTTTTAAATGATTAATCTTGCAACCTGCTAACTTTTCCTCCAGATCAAAGACTTATATTTTCCGACTCCTGAAGTAGCTGCTGTGCAATGGGACTATAAACATTATTTTGTTCCACAGGACACATCCACAAATGTGTTCTTGGCAGCTTTTACTACTGCATGGGCACGGTTAAAGCTTTACAGTGAAATGGAGAAGTTGGGCCGTGCTGTGTTGTATCATGACACGGATTCAATTATATACGCAAGCGATTTTACCAACGATCCGCCTCTTGGTAATTTTTTTTTGGGGGATTTTACAGATGAACTCAATGGAGATACTATTACTACATTTGTCTCTGGTGAGCTTCATTTTTATTTTTATTTTTTATTAGGTTGATCTTTTATTCTTGTAGTTTCTGTAGCATATTTTTTCCCCCATTCAGGAGGCCCCAAAAATTACGCGTATGTAACAGCACAAGGAAAAACTTGCTGCAAAGTTCGAAGTTTCTCCCTCAACTTCAAAAATCAACAGATTTTAAATTTTTTTTTTTTGGAGATTAAGAATTTAGTGTGCTCGATGGATCGAAAAACAACAATCGCCATGTACGATGAACATAAAATCATGAGAGATGCCAAAAAGAGGAAAGTTTTAACTAAGGCAGAAACAAAACTGTACAAAATTGTTTACAACAAAAGGGTCCTAAAAGAAGATCTAACTACTGTTCCCTATGGATTTTAAGTGGTATGCATCTCATTTATTTTATTTCATTGCAGGGTTATTGTTGGATTAATGTTAAAAAAAAATTATATTTTGCAGTAAAATTTTAAAATTGTGTGGTTGACTTTTTTTTCTTTTTTTTTCTTAGCCTTTTCTTAAACGAGAGGAGTATATAAAGCTTCACACATTTCTGAAGATCATCAGTACCCCACAAAATGGAGTGGCCTGTGTTGAAACACCCTTCCACATCTCTCATCAGCGGTCCGACAGGATCCGGTAAGACATATTTTGTGAAACGAGTCATCGAAGAAAGTCTGCTTTCTCCTATGCCTCAGCGTATAATTTATTGCTATGGAGCATATCAACCTATTTTTAGTAAAATGAAAAATGTGCAGTTTGAAGAAGGACTACCATCGAACCTCAATTCCCTGCAAAATGCACTAATTATCATTGATGATTTAATGTCTGAGTTAGCGAGCGATACTCGTTTAAGTAAACTTTTTACGAAAGGAAGCCATCACCGAAATCTTTCTATAATATTTATCGTTCAAAATTTATTTCAGCAGGGTAAAGAGATGCGAACCATTCATTTGAATTGTCATTACATGATACTGTTCAAAAATCCTAGAGATAAATGTCAAGTCGTACATTTGGCAAGGCAGATGTTCCCCGGGAAAACAAAGGCTTTTCAGGAAGTCTTCCAGGATGCAACTTCAAACCCTTACAGTTATTTACTAATAGATTTAAGACCAGAAACCCAAGAAATGTTAAGGTTACGTACAGGCATTTTCCCTTCAGATAAGCATTTTGTTTATGAACTCCGTTAGTTGCTGTTGCACTCAACAAGTTTTCTCCTTCAGTGATTTAATTTGTAGGTTTTTTAAAATTTAAAACTCTCTTTTACATTGTAAAAGAATAAAATTTGCCACACCGAAATTTTTTTTTTTTTTTTTTTTTTTTTTGAAAATTAGATTATTTAAAAAATGTCCTAAAATATAAGATCTGCACAAAAAGCGGTTGCTTATGCGACCTTTATAAAAGAGAAGGAATTGTTAAAGTACCAATCATTTGAGGTCCAGATGTCGAGCCTGGAACATCTTAAACTCCTAGGCAAAAGTAAAGTAAAAAAAACTCTTCTAAGAAAATGTCCCAATAGTGTTATTAAAAGTGTATGTGAATGTGCTTTAAATGTATTACAGGGTAACGTTCCTTTGTCTAAAAGACAGAAACGTAAACTGGCCGTATATAAACGGACTTTGCGTACATTAGGTGATAAAAAGATACCCTTATTTAAAAAACGGAGACTATTGGTACAAAAAGGTGATGGATTTCTTTCGTTGCTCATTCCTGCCGCAGTTTCTGTACTGAGCACATTAATTAATGGAGTTCGCTCGTAAATTTATCCTTGTACCCTCGGATCGAGAATTAGAATTTGCTGAAAACCATTTATCAGATTTAGATCAGCAAATGAGCACCATTTTAAACGAGAAGTTATCCGAAGATGAAAAAGCCAAGCAATACCTTCAAATACTTCAAAAATATGTAACATTTCCCCAATTAAAATCAGAAACACAAGAAAGTGTTCAGCTTAGCAAAGAAGAAGAGAAAAAGTTTACCATGGAAGAAGAAATTGTGAATTCCGCTCCAGTGAAATTTAAGAACATTGCCAAAAGAATTATAGACTTTTTAAAACTTCACATGATGATATTATTACATGGACTCCATCTAAAGAATTAATCATGAACCAAGTTAAAATTAATAATTCTAATGTTCAAGACTTGGTGAATTATTTGTTAAGAAATCAACAGACCAAGCCTGTAGGTTATGAAGAGTTTAAAAAATTCTTAGATGTTGTAGATTTTCCCAGGGAGTTTGTAAAAAACAAGTATCTGTTTACAATGTATGCTAAACCTAAATGTGTAAAAAAGAAAAGAAAATTGTATTCAACTTCTTGGATAAAATATTAAATAAAAAGAAAGATATTAGTTAAATTTGGTGTGTTTTTATGTGTGAAAAAATATTTTTTTTAATTTCAGGTTGAAAAAAAATGATCCAGATTTTTTTTTTAAAGGTAAGTTTTTTTTTTTTTCCTTAAAAAATGTGCAGATGTCATGAGTAAAATAAATCTCTTTTTTTTTTCCAGTAATTTACAATGGAAAATAATTTTTAAGCTTAAATGAAACCTTTAAAATTTATTCTATAACTAAAAGGTAAAAGAAAAGTTATTTAAGAAAATTGTAAATTGCACTTTATTAATAAGAAAGACAAAACTAAAATTCCAAGCAAATTAATATTTTATTTCTTAAAAATCATTTTTTTACACCATACCTTTTCTTCACAAAATGAAATACATGAAAATCGCTATTTCTTACAGAAAGATTAGATACAATTGATTCCAAACATAATCCTTGACATCGTTTTAACAAATAATAAGTACAATATTGTCCACAAACATTTGATGTTACACTCTGAAGAGAAACTTGATTCCATGTCACACAGTTAAACTTGCTAGTAAATTTTGCTATGTCATCACCATAAGTCATGGGAGGAAGTCCATAAGAATCGAAAAATTCTAAAGTCTGATTATTTTCAATGAAGAAAGCCAGCCAGTGCGTCCCTTTCTCGTTGTGTTTATCAGTGTTGACTACAATAGCTGCTGGGAAACGATGAACATCTGGGATTTTATCTGAAGGGAAAACTCCAGTGTAGTACTTTGCTGTCCATTTGTCATGAGAGAGTATTCTATGAATTTCTGAAGAATTCATTAGTTACCAAAATCGTAGATAATATTTCTAGATTTATTGATTTCTATTAAGTTTTCAAATTCTGCATAGACTATTAACGATGTTGTTATTGGCAGAGGGAAACCGAATTTTACCTCCAGTCTCAAATTACTATGACGGACTAAATTCAAGTGAGAACCATCACACAAGTCAGGTGATAGATCGAAAAGAAATAAGCAGTATCCTTCTGGATACTCTGATCTCGAAAGATACAATCCTCGGTTTTCTGCATTGGCAAATAAATTCTGATAAGCACGAATAAAGGTTTTATTCATGAAATCAGGTTGAAGAGGATTGTGAGGCATAGGTTGCCCATCTACGTAAATGCCAATAAAATTGATATGATTGTGCTTAAATTCGAAGGGAGATTTTTTATAGTTTCCGTTGAAAGCATCATTATCGACACAAGCAACAATTAAGCGTTTAGGCATCTGGCCCGTAAAAATACTATCTTGAACAAAACTCATATTTCCTGATGGAATGGAATACACTTTGCAAAGCACTCGGTTGATAGGATATTTCGCTGTCGCTTTTTCTAAACTTTTTGCATGCCCTAAAATTACACCTGGACTGACTCGAACTTTGCGTACAAATAATGAGGCATGTTCCAATGACACTTTAAAATTCCCCTCCCCCAGTAAACAAAATTCCGGTTTGCTGCGGATAAGTTTAATTTTCATATCGACCATGTTCAACAAAAGTCTTTCTTGATGAAACATATCTAGATGTAGCCGTCCAATCATATCCACTGTAGCACTAAGTTTAAATTCTTCTGCTCTTTTATTGAATCCCTCATTAGGTTGCTTATCCGCAGTATCAAAAACATTCATACGGCCTGCTGTATCTTTAAAATATAATTCTGATGATAATTGAGAAGTTTTCGTATCAAAACCATGATTAAGTAATTTTTCTATGATGGCTCTGTAAGGGTACGTGTTATTGCTGGAGGAAATAAGTCTTTCATTTAAGCTTATATCAACTTGAGAAAAGAGGGAGTGCAGAAACAAATTCACGGGTCCCACTTTATCATCTTTTCCGAGAGAGCCGCCATTGCTTTTCAAAATTTTAACTTTGACGTATAACTGAGTTTGAGATAAATCCAAATAGTCATCGCCACTACCCGCGACATTGAATTCGACAGGACTTCCATCCGACACATTCGCAAGGGGATGAAATTCTATCCATTGTCCTCTTTCTATAACTGTTTGGGTTGGAGGTAATGTAAATAAATCGAGTTCAGATTTGGCGCATTCTGGAGAATCTTTTAAGAGGAAAGCCATTATGAGTTGAAAATGTCACGTCTTTGCACTTTCCTGGCTTTAGACGAAATGAAGCGTTTGGGAGATTTGCGTTTCCTTTTAAACTTTCCGTGACCAATCATCTCATCTGCTTTTTGAACTGCTTTCCTTGCTAATTTTTTTTCCACTTTCTTTAGATCTGGTTTTAAAGGCTGATTTAAAATTTTCTCCTGATATCACATCGTTTGCAATTTGCGTTCCTGCACGTAGAGCTTCTTTTCCAACAGTTTTTGCTCCCTTAATTAAAAATGGCATGGCATGGCACTACGGAAAAGTTTCGCAAAAAAATCCACCTATTCCGTATCCTTTCTGTAAAACCATTCCCTGATAATACGGCAGACCTTTTCCAGTTTGTCCCACATAATAATCCTCAAAGTGTTTGGTGCAACAAGCATATGGAATGAGCATTTTTGATACAGCTTTTAGAACGTTTACACTATGAATGAATAATTTTTTTCTTTTGGTAAAGCTTTTTATAGAATTTGTCTCAAACGAAAGTGGAGCACTATGAAAACTTTACCTCTTTCAAACGGCACCAGACTCCCCGAATGAGACCTTATTTCGATTTCAATCGTTTGAAAATGTTGGCGAATCACTG